GTATCTTACCATGCAACTGTAAAAGCTGCTTGGGACACTTGTCCATGAAACTTCTCTCCAGAATTTTGGTTTGTAGACCTCAGTGTCAACTTCTAGGGTCAAACATCTTACTTTAAGGAGCATGTATTATCTGGATTAATGATTTGATCCTAAAATGCATGGTAGATTTAATATGGCAACTTAAGGCTGTACCTTATTTCATCTTACAATTTGGGATATATGACACTGTAATAGTCTCTCCTTCATTTCACTGCATTTAGAATCTTTGTACTAATTCTCCTTCATCTCACTGCTTTTACAATCTTTGTACTGATTTTTCAGCAAGTGTCCCTGTCTGTGCATTATGAGATTTGATGTGATGTGTATTGCCAGTACTCGGAGATGAAATGAGACCCAACTGAGATGTGAATCTGTAGTGTCTCATTTGGAATCTCCCAAGAAACTTCATTCACTTAGTATACACATCGTTGCCCATCACAGATTACATATTTTAATCCCTCTTTCTACCCAAATCTCAAAAATCCTTTCTTTCCATACAGAACTAATTGCACACAAAAAAAATTATTAACTGTTCTTATCATCCAAGATTCATGCTCAACATGAAACAAAAATCAACTTTTAACTTATCCCACTGAATTACGATGATCTTACTTTTAACCCTTTATTTGACATTTAAATTATGAAACCTTGAATCAATTAAAAACCTAATTATTTAAGTATAACTTTTGCTTTGATTTGGTGGACAGATATAATTTATATTATCATCTTGGCTTATATCTTATTCATTTGGGTGTTCACTAGCCTTTCTACATACACATTTGTGCTTATATTTGGATTCTCTGTGTGTAACATAGGTCTGTGAGATAAAACTGAATAATTTCCTCTAGGGAAACAAGTTTTTCATAAGTGCTATGGAATGGAAGCATTCACTCTATCCTATTTCTGCCAGTCATATAGAGGAAAACAAAATCCTGTGATGACTTTTTGCTTTGTTTCTTTACCAAATTAAAGATTTACATAGCTGCTTTTTTTTCAGACAATCCCCCATCTCCCATAACAAGTAAAGCAAACGTGAACCAGCACTCTAAGGATAGTATTGGTACATAAAAAATGTAAGAGGACAAATGTCATACTCTGCCTATCTGCCAGAGTCCTAAGTTCCCCTAAAGGCTATTATAGCTAGTAACATCTGCATATTGTTTTGAAGTAAAAGCTGAAATTAATTTTTATTATTATTTAATGCCCAAATTTTTGTTTCTTTTAGAATGGAGGATTGTCTTTCCATGGCAAGGGAGAAGAGTGCCTGTGCTTTAAGAAACAGACTGTGTCTTCATAAGAACATTATTATTGTCATATTGACCCGAGCAAAGGTGGCATCCAGTCCAGTCTCCTCTCTCCAGCTGTCACCTATGATGGACACCTCAGGAATCATTAAAAGAACAAGAGGACACACAGGAATAATTCCCTGTGGATATGATGTGCAGTACTGGGCTTGCATGAAGAAGTAGTGTATTTTGTTTGACCAAGACATATACGTGGAAAAATAAGACAGACTTTTGGTCACACTTTTCTGTGAGTTAGGATCACGTTTCAATTAAGAGCAATTGCTTACCGTTTCCTAAGATATTTATGAATTAAGCCAGCTCTGAAAGGAAAAGGATGGCAGCTTTAGAATAGAGAGGACATTGACGATGTTAATGATGGCAAAAAATAGCATTTATTAGCTAAGCAAAAAGGAGACAATCACCTTACAGTCTGTTGATTTGGAGAGGGGTAAGTGGGAGGGAGCAGTGTTGTATGTTGAAGTAGAAGGAGATTATAATGTACTATCAGGCCAGCATCTCTACTGAGTCCACAGTTTTGGGCGGAGTTGGGAAACCTAGTTCCCATGTGGACTTCTGTGGGACAAATTCTGTAGTTTCTCTTAAGGATCAGGTCTGAAATGAGTGGGAGAATGTCTGTTTTGTGAGAAAGATTCCCTCACAAACAGCACAGTGATGTGTTTGGTCTGTGAAGATGGCCTCCAGGAGTTCAGGCTGGAGCTGAGTGGTCGTTTTCAGCAGTAGAACTACACGGAATGCAGCTGTGCACTGGATGAAGTACAGCCCTGGAACATGAAATATAAGAGCAGGGTATGCTGGTGATTTGATGGCAGGGGGTGTTCATTGCTGTAGGAGTGGATGGGCATCAAAACACATCTTGCATTTCTTGCTCAGGCACAGTTTAAACTGATCTGATGTTTTGGGCCACAAAGGATTATGCTCTAATGATGAGTTTTGTGGTTTGGGGTGTTTGAAATGTAGGACAAGTGCTTCTGGGAAGATTCTTTCCACACAGGATTTTCTTCTGTTATGTGTAAAATCATTAAACAGTTAAAATGAGTAAGTCCTAGAAACTTTTCTGAACCTACCACCTCTCAACCCTTGTTCTTCTCCCCACAATACTTCAACCCCGTTTCTACTTTTTCTGAATTTCAAGTAGTTTTTCTCAAGCTGCATTTAGCTTTTAGCTAATTACTGCATTTAGATAGCTACTGCTTCAGAACCAAAACAAAAAAAAATATTGCTTGTTAATCCAAAAATGTGTTTGGTTTTCCTTCTGTACTAGTCGGTCTGAAAAAATCTATTATGTACCATGTACAAACCTTATCTGTATACATTGGTCTTTCTCCTGAGTAGAGATGGTGTTTTTCAGTTTGAGAAGTGTTTCCTTAATATTTCAAATGCAGACCCCAGTAGGTAGAATTTCAACAAACTGATGATGCACTTAGGCATCTTAATTACCTCTTCTGGATTGTGTGATGTGTCCCCAGGTCTAAAAAGAACAGGCAGAAAGCCAAGGAGGCTTCCCAAGACTAGTCAGAAATTCACTCATTGTCTATGAGAGAGCATGGATAATATTTATTCCAATCTAAAGATCCAGTGTTCAATCTTTTTAGGATGAACAGAGAACCAATACTGCTATTTAGGGCTGATTATAAATAGGTTTTGTGCTAGAAAGAAGTTAATAATTTTAATTACTGATGTAGATCTGAAGAGAAAAATCTGTAGCTTCAATACAGTTAAATAAATACAATATTTAAGGAATCAAACTTCTTCAGCAGAAGATGGATAAAAGGTATTTGCATGCATCATTTTTGAACTACGGTCCTCTGAGAAGAGAGTTCTTGACAGAACTCAATGAACCTCAGTAAATGAGGACATCAGCAATCAACATTTTTAAGGATGTGTAATTTTTCTAAACATGATTCCACTCCTGCAGTCGTTACACAGCGTAGATTTTGCTCTTAATTAGTTTGAATGTGGGACAGTACTTCTGGGAGAAAGAAAGTGGCCTAAATAGCATGGTCCAAATTTTATCTGTAGCTATCCAAGAAATACGGATGTCTTTTATTAACCCTTGCCACCTCTGACAGCTAGAAATAAATGCTGGAGCTGGCTTATTACTAATGGATTTTTGGATCTCAATTAACATGTAAGGAGAAAAGGGTGGGAGCATGCTGCAGAGAAGGAAGACAGCTGGTGGGACAAGCTTCATGCCTGGTTCAGCTCTGAATGACAGAATTAACCTTTGGACAAATATGAGAATATTTGCACACACGACGGAGAGCCTTAATTACTGAATGTCTGGAGAACAGGGCAGGGTTCTTCTCTCCAGGAGCACACTTTATTATTCTTATTCAGTTCCAATGAGTACAGTAAATCCCCTATTCAGCCTTCATCATTTTTCTGGACTGTGCATTTCGGGAGAGCGAACAGGACCTCCATTCTATTTGTGCAATGGGGCTTCGGGCATGCAAAAATGGCCACTGCTGGCAGTCACTGTATGCCAATTCTCCCCCTTCCCCAGAATATAGCAAGAATTTTCCAAAAAACCTGACGGGAGGCATCGCAAGTGACACAGCATTCAACTTGAGTCACACTGTAACAGTTGTCCACTAAGCAGAGAGAGGAAGGGAAATGGGAAAGCCTTATGGGGATTATTTTCGTATGTCGGGCTGCTGCTGCGGACACGATGGGAGGAAGGCGCAGATAACACACCGGTCGGTAGCGAGTTGCTGGAAGTGTTTCTGGGGAGAAGCGAGTTTTAGCCGCTCCAACATCACCGCGTATGCGATGTGCCACATCGCGGGCTGCGCCTTCTGCCCGCGCCTCGAGTGACCGCAGTGTGTCTCCCACATTTCAGACCTGCAGATATCCCGACTGCGCACTGCTCCCCGCAGCAGAGTCCCGGCAGCGCCGCGGCTCCCTCCTCCAACCCTGCCCTTTGCTATGTGCCAAACATCGATTCCCCCGCCCGGGATTAGCCCGGCTGCTTGCGCGGCGGGGGGCACCGGGGGTGACGGGCCCCGGCCCGGTCCGGGTACGCCGCTCAACAGCTCCAACAATCGTCATCACGGGGGAATCCAAAAACAGCCCCGGGACAGCCGGGGCCGGCGCGCCGCCGACCGCCACGGCACAGCCCCGTCGCCCCGCTCACCGCCCCGCCGCGGGGCCCCTTCCCCAGCGCCGCCCCCGCCGCCTTTGTGCGCGGCGCGGGGCAGCCCCGCGCCCGCCTGCGCCCGCCCCCGGGTGAGGCGTTGGGAGACGGTCCCTTACGCAGGAAAGTTCGGCGTCGGTTTCAAGGCTCCTCCCTCCGGTGAAGCAGACTGCGGGGCGCCTGGAAACCGGTCGGAGGGAGCGCGGCGCGGCGAGGCGAGGGGCGCGGGCTCGAGGGGCCGGCACAAATGGTCAGGCGGCGGCGGCGGAGGCGGCGGCGGCGGCGGTAGCGGCGGTAGCGGCGGTAGCGGCGGTAGTCGGAGGCGCGGCGGACGCTGCCGCCGGTGCGGGCAGAGCTGCGCGCTGCGCTCAGCGCTCCGCGGCCGCGTGAGTGGCGGCCGGGGCTGCCCCGTCCCTGCCCGCCGCTCCCTTCATGAGTCGCAACTTCGGGCCGGGAGGAGCAGCGGCGGCGGCGGCGGCGGGGCGGCGGGAGCCCGGCAGGGCAGGCGGCACCGACTGAGCATGGCCGAGCGGCGCGGGCCGGCGGTGAGCGGCGGCGGGGAAGTTGGCAGCGGCCGGTGCCCGCGGCTGCCGCTGCTGCTGGTGCTGCTGTGGGCGGCGGCGCCGCCGGCCGGGGGGCAGCTGCCGGCGTCGCAGTACAACGGCGAGCGGGGCATCTCCATCCCTGACCACGGCTACTGCCAGCCCATCTCCATCCCTCTCTGCACTGACATCGCCTACAACCAGACCATCATGCCCAACCTGCTGGGCCACACCAACCAGGAGGACGCGGGGCTGGAGGTGCACCAGTTCTACCCGCTGGTGAAGGTGCAGTGCTCGGCCGAGCTCAAGTTCTTCCTGTGCTCCATGTACGCGCCGGTGTGCACCGTGCTGGAGCAGGCCCTGCCGCCCTGCCGCTCCCTCTGCGAGCGGGCCCGCCAGGGCTGCGAGGCCCTCATGAACAAGTTCGGCTTCCAGTGGCCCGACACGCTACGCTGCGAAAAGTTCCCGGTGCACGGGGCTGGCGAGCTCTGCGTGGGGCAGAACGCCTCGGAGCGCGGCACCCCCACGCCCGCCCTGCGCCCCGAGAGCTGGACCAGCAACCCGCACCGCGGGGGCGCCGGCGGCGGCCCCGGGGGCCCGGGATCCGGCGAGTCCCGCGGGCGCTTCACCTGCCCGCGGGCGCTGAAGGTGCCCTCCTACCTGAACTACCGCTTCCTGGGAGAGAAGGACTGCGGGGCGCCCTGCGAGCCCGGCCGCCTCTACGGGCTCATGTACTTCGGGCCCGAGGAGCTGCGCTTCTCCCGCACCTGGATCGGCATCTGGTCCGTGCTCTGTTGTGCCTCCACCCTCTTCACCGTCCTCACCTACTTGGTGGACATGAAACGATTCAGCTACCCCGAGCGGCCCATCATCTTCCTCTCAGGCTGCTACACGGCGGTGGCCGTGGCCTACATCGCCGGCTTCCTCCTAGAGGAGAGGGTGGTCTGCAATGAGCGCTTTGCCGAGGACGGGTCCCGCACCGTGGCGCAGGGCACGAAGCGGGAGGGCTGCACCATCCTCTTCATGATGCTCTACTTCTTTGGCATGGCCAGCTCCATCTGGTGGGTCATCCTCTCCCTTACCTGGTTCCTTGCTGCTGGCATGAAGTGGGGCCATGAGGCCATTGAGGCCAACTCCCAGTACTTTCATCTGGCCGCCTGGGCCGTGCCAGCCATCAAGACCATCACCATCCTTGCCCTGGGACAAGTGGATGGGGACGTCCTCAGTGGCGTCTGCTTTGTGGGCATCAACAACGTGGATGCCCTGAGGGGCTTCGTGCTGGCCCCCTTGTTCGTCTACCTGTTCATCGGCACCTCTTTCCTGCTGGCTGGCTTTGTGTCCCTCTTCAGGATCCGGACCATCATGAAGCATGACGGCACCAAGACAGAAAAGCTGGAGAAGCTCATGGTGAGGATAGGCATCTTCAGCGTCCTCTACACGGTGCCGGCCACCATCGTCATTGCCTGCTATTTTTACGAGCAAGCTTTTAGGGAACAGTGGGAGAGGAGCTGGGTCACGCAGAGCTGTAAGAGTTATGCCATTCCCTGCCCCAACAACCACAGCGGCCACCACCCGCCCATGAGCCCCGACTTCACTGTCTTCATGATCAAGTATCTCATGACCTTAATCGTGGGCATCACCTCGGGCTTCTGGATCTGGTCTGGGAAAACCCTGAACTCCTGGAGGAAGTTTTACACCAGGCTCACCAACAGCAAGCAGGGCGAGACCACGGTCTGAGACCCCTGCTTGCCAGGCTAGGGAGACGCGGGCAGGCGGAGGACTGAGGCTCTGCCTCCGGGAAGCAGCTCCTTATCCAGCCTGGGCAAACTTTTGGGACTGCGAGTGGCTTCCGCAGGCGGCGGGGAGCGGAGGACGAGCCAAGGGGGACCCCAGTGCCTGGGATCTCCGGGCTCTGCCCTCCCCATGCCGCTCGGGCTGTCTCCTGTAGGAGCTGAACGCACTGTCAGGTTGGGGAGAGGGATGTAAATAGCCTCTGTAAGATTTTGTAAGTATATTTGTATTTAAATTACAAAAAACCTCACTTTTTTAATTATTTAGGACACTTCTAACCCGTTTGCAGATTTTACTGCCTCGCTTCACCCCCACCTCTTTTTTTTTATTTAAAGAAGAAAAAAGGCTTTGGATTTTTATTTCGTAGGGCAGGATGGGAAAAGCTGCCGGTAAGAGAATGGAAAACAAACCCCCTTCTTCTCCCCCACACAGGTTTCGTAATGGCTTTGCTTGGAATTTCAGCTGTATGAGCAGGAGGGCGCGGAGCGGGGCTGCGGCCGGGGGCGCCTCCTGACCCGGGCTGGGTCCTGGCCTCGGTCCGCCCGCGGCAGCGCGGAGGTGGGGATGGGGAGGAGCGCCGCTTCCAGCCCCGGCCCCGGCCCCGTCTGGGGATCGCGGAGTCCCGCCCGGTCCCGTACGGGGAGGACGTAGAACCACCCGGGCATGGCGCGGGGACGGCCCTGCACCGAGCCCCGGCCCCGCTGACCCCGCTGGGCCTTCCCGGGTGTACAGCCAGCCCGGGTGTACAGCCAGCCCGGGGGTACAGCCAGCCCGGGGGTACAGCCAGCCGCCCTGCTCGGGGCGGGCCGGCCGCTCTGTGGAGGGAGAGCCCCGGGCCGTGTGCGGGGCTGGGGCCGCGGCCGGGGTGCCAGGGTCTGGCCATGCCGTGCGTGGCGCAGGAGGAGTTGGCCCTGTTCGGTGTACGAGTTGGGGTTCAGCACCGCTTGCACCTGTAGCACCTCCTATGGCTCCGGGGGTGGATGGCGACAGAGATACAGCGAAATTCCCTCCTGCTGGGGTGTTTTCCTAAGCCCACTTTCCAGTCCGGGAGCGCCCCGCGGGTGCTGCTGCCGCCGCCTGCCCCGGTCCCTCCCCGCCGGGCTGCTGCCGGCTGGGGTCAGCAGGATCAGGAAATACGGGCTCAGTGAAAAGAGCTTCATCGGAATAAAAACGCAGCATTCAGTTTGGGGCTTTTGTTTGTTTCTTCCCTGCCCCCTAGTTACATTCATACACCAGCTCTTCATATGGCAAACGTTGGAGCCATTGCCATTCCTCTGAATTTTAATTCATTGAGATTTAACTCATTACACATCATGAGGGTGTGATGATTTTTGCCAGTAGTAAAAACAATGGAAAGGAAAACAGAAAAGCAGAATGCTAAAGCACTCTGGTGAGATGTGAGACCTGAAAGAGCCTCTGCTGTCTTTTTTCCCCTCTTTTTTCAGTACAGAAACAACATTGCATACTGCAAGGATAAGATACCGTGTATGCAGTATATCTACTACCTTGTATGCTCCTGGGTGTGTGGGATTGTGCTTTTAATACATTAAAAAAGTTAAAGACGAAATTGTAACTTTCAACAGATGCATTTGAATATGTAGACCTCTGTATGAAAAACAGCAGAATGCTTCTCTCCTGATTGTATTGTTTTAAACTTTTTTTTATATTACAAATGCCTGTATTTAGGTTCATAAACATTATCTATGGCTACCATACCCTAAAATGCAAAATTATTTTAATTTGGTATGCATTTACTTCTGTTCATTATCACAAGATCATCTATATTTATAGAGGAATAGAAATTTATATATATTAAATACCATATTTTTAATTTCTCTGAAATAAATTGAGGTTTTGTACAAAAGTAGCTTGTCCCTTTACGTATTCCTCTAACTCCTACTGTGTGAAAGCAATGTATATACTATAAGATGTGTGGGATTCCTTTTTTCTTATGTTGAGTTCACAGTAACAAGCTGGAATTCAGTGTAGGAATTCATTGTGCATTTTGGTTTTTATCTCTGGGCCGGTCTAGATTAATCCTTCAAAAGAAGTAATGTAAACAGTTTAGGATCTCTGACAGGATATGGTCAGTGGTGTGAAATCCAAGAAGAGGTCTGCTATATGGCAGGAGAAGAAAGAAGCTCACCAGTTCTTTTTTGGTGGCTTTGGTGAAGGTTTTTTGTTTGTGATTTTTTTGTTGTGTTTTGGTTTTTTTTGTTGTTGTTTTTTTGGTTTTTTGGTTGCAGAAAAGGGTTCTCTCAACCTAGCATTTCTTCTCATTATCCTTTTTATTAAAATTTAAAAAATATTCTCAGTGCTTCAAATGACACTCAAATTATTTGCAATAGTTTTATTTTCCTGAATTTGGACTGTTTGGTTAATCCACAGTTAAATGTTTATGGAAGCATTTCAGCTATATGGAAAGTACACACATTCTTTAACTTTTCAAAACAATACACTTTTTTTCTTTTTTTTTTTTTTTTCTGTAATTCATTGTTTGAAGTGCCATTCGGTAAGTGTGGGTTTATTAGGAAAGGCTGGTTAATTATCAAACCTGATTTTTGGTTTTTAATGTTATAAGCTAGCAAAGCATTTAATTCTGTAGATCTGGAGGCAGATATAAATGATTTTTGGCTTGTTTACTTCTTTCAAATCGTGATGCATAACAGCCATAGAGAAGTAAGGGAAGCTTAACAGAATTTCTCTAATGTGAGACAAGGGGGCAGGGTTTTCTCATTATTTAAAAATTCTTTCTACACAAACATAGTTCTTGCTTTCTCAGATATTTGGACATTTTTCTCAAGTTTTTTTTTTGTTTGTTTTGTTTTGTTTTGTTTTGTTTTTTCCTCCTTTTTAGGGGGTTTAAAATTGGGCTGGTCAGCACTCTGCTAATGACCTGAAGTACGAGCCATTCATTTTCAGTTACAATGGAATTCTTTTTGGTCGGTGTGTAATTACATTTCAGCTGTTTCGGCTGATCTGTTTTCTTGCAACAATGTATGTGATTTATTTATGGATGGGAGAACACATTTATTTGTAACAGAGATGTTTATGGTAAAGATGGGAAGACCAATTTTTAAAAATACTTCTCAGAAATGAAGAATGGAATTTTTTTTCTACAAGAAGTAAAGTGTCAGTATTTACAGTTCATGATTTGCAGTAGATATGGATCCCCTTCAGTTCTCTGGAATTCTATTCTTATTTTTTTTTTTTTCAGAACTAAAGCTCCAGATTCAATCTTGGTTATTTTAATAAATATACTAGAGAGTGCAATATGTTCAGAAATCTGTTGAAAGGGCACCCCCTGCTTTTTTCTTTGCTAATTTTTGTGACCCTTCGCAGGGCAGTAATTGGCAAAGGTCACGGTCATCACTGAATGCTGTGGTGCTGTCTGTGGGGCTCATCCACTTTTTTATATTTTATTTCGCAACATAATGGTATTTCAGATGCCTTATTAATAAAATACAAAGATATCTTTTGCATGGGGCATCAGTAATGGTTTACTGTTAAAAATAGATCTATCCCTTACTCCAGGGGGTTTAGATGGGGGTTTTTACAACATAGTCTGGGTAATTGATGTGCCATGGTTACCAAAGAAAGTATCAATATAGAGTAAGTAGAAAGTATCAGTACACAAAGAAGCAGTTTTTGCCACTTCTCTTGTCCCTGACAAGGTTGTTAATATAAGAACAAAACTGGTATGACAAGAGTTTTTCTGGGCTGAAGTTCTTGTTTAAGCATTCCATACTCAGGAGCTTTGCTTTCTCTCATGGGATATATTTATACCCTGAAATGAAGGGACACTCGAAATCACCATTCCCTTGAAGAGTGCTGTAGCCTGAAGAGCTGGGGATGTTGATTTACTGTTTATCCTTCAGTAACAGTAATGCTCTTTAAAGCAGTGGCAAATTTGTGGTATTGGAATGAAATTATATGCTGTTTCCATAACAAATCCTATTGGAAAAGAGTAAGATTTCTGGTTTGTTCATATAGTAATGCCCAAAATTTCTGGTGTGTGCACATCCTTGTGTGTATTTGTGTTGTGTTTGGTTTTGTTTTTTTTTCAATAGAGGGGCAGGACATTACTGAAATCTGTTGGGGCTCAATTCTGCCCTCTGGATGATGCCCACCCTTCTGCTGCCATCCCTTTGTACTTTAAAAAAAAAAATTATTAAAAGGGATGATAACTAGGTATGAGAAGAGACTGCTGTTTATTTACATGATGAGTATTTTTCAAAATAGGCTATGGGCTAGTATCTCATCAGTCTTTTGCCAATCTCAGTCACAAGAGACAATTTTCAGCCTGACATTGTAGTCCTTTTTAAAAGGTGTGCACCCTGAAGCTGACCAGAGAAAGTAATCCTGAGTTTGGCATGACACACTTTAAAATTATTGAGAGTACTCTTGCAAGAAGTTTGCATTTGTGTGACATAATCTTCCACCCCAGTGCTGCATGGCCTCAGAAAGAGCTTCAGTTAGCAAAACTCGAGAGAGATGAAGAGGTGCTAAGTCAGTGCTTACCTATAAAAATAAAGAAACTGAGGCATAGCTCTGTTTTTATCATGATTTTACCCTCTAGTGCTCAGGCACTGGAATTACATTTTATTTGATAGATGTTTCCAATGACAGCACTACATGACTGGCAATACTGTGCAAAATCTGAATATCAGCCTCACCCCCTGCTTTTAATTCTCCTATTTTATTGGTTGCTGTTTGCATTGCTGGACCTAGAGCATCATTGCTCTGCATGTTGTGCAAACTTGGAGTCAATGGATCATATGGATTCTGAATTCAAATGTTGATTCAAAAATGCAAGCCAGTAATCTGCTTTAGAGCCATTACAAGAGGAGGGTTGCTCTTGCATCCATAGCTGTGAGAGTTTTTCATATTTGTAAATCTCTTGCCTCTGTTGTTCAGTTGAGCTGTAAGGCTTAGGCAATGATTCACGCTCATTTGGAGAAAGAGAACTTTATTTATCTTGCTTTGGACTGACCCCTTTGCTATTTCTGTGTTTACAGCATAAAAGAGAAATGCTTTGTTCTGAAGCTCCTGATCAATTTTGAAATAGCAGTACCATAATTTAAAAATGGGTTAGCACGTTTAGGAAGCAAGACTTGTCTTACAGCTGAGGCCTTGGTTTCCACAGTTTAGTTTTTAGAAGTCTACAAGCATTTTAAGATGTGAAATAGCTTCTTAAGGACAAACTAAGCATGCCAGGATTAGGTCTTG